TCTCTCTCTCTCTCTCTCTCTCTCTCTCTCTGTGTGTGTGTGTGTGTGTGTGTGTGTGTGTGTGTGTGTGTGTGTGTGTGTGTGTGTGTGCGCGCACACATGTGACAATTGATGTTTTTAGGGATTCACCTCAAATGCTGAAAGTGATCAAGACCTGGGATGCATATTTATTTGTTGTGTAACTATGATGTGTTGTATTCATGTCGCAGATGGGACCATTTCGAGAACACTATCTGCTATCATGCTCGATGGATCGAAGCTTAGCTCTTTGGGATTTACGCAGGTAGGAGGGTCCTGGATTCTGTGTCTTCCCTGTTGCTCTTCACCGCTGAGGAATAGCAGTTTGTTCAATTTCGTTTCCATTTGCCCCTGTGTCCTTCCTGTAAGCAAGCGGTGTGAAGCTTGTCCTCTTAGCGCTCTTCATTCAACTTGGAAAATTTTGAACGTCGAAAAAAAGGTCACTGGGACAAAGCTTTGCAAAATGTACATGTTAATTTTCTGTGGTCTATTGTGCAAAGAAATTTAAATTGGAATTTCGAACCTAGCAGATTGTACATGTTGACTTACAGTGCTCAACAGTGCAAAGAACCGAGGTCGTATCAGCACAGGACTGTTGTCTATAGTGCATAAGTGTAGTCTATAGTACTCTATACTAGTGCATAAGTATAGTAGTATAAAGCAAAGTATCGAGGTCAACAGGACAGTCCTTGGGGTCGACAGGGGGCAGTTACTAGAGGAGGCTGCTCGTACCACCTCCACTGTTTTTTCAAAAAAAAAAAAAAAAGAAGGGGGTCGTAGCTTTTTCCAAGTCAAAAATTCTAAGGAAATTCAAGAGTCTAAGGTCTGTCCTGGAGAACTATATGCATGTATGTAGTTGAAGCTACATACTATGTACTATGTATCTTTACATCTCCACTCGTTTTAGGTTGAATGGTCTCTTGATCCAACCCAAAGACAAAGGGTTAGGAGACTGCTCTTCATTCAGCATCCCCCATGGTATGCCCTTGCGCTGGAACAAATAGCTAGACTTGGCCCACAGGCACCGCAGGGAGTTAACCCATTGACCTGGCTGGAAGACCGTTTCTGGATGGTGCCATGGTCCCCTCGAACCGGTCGAGTCTCGTACAGAGACACAATCCGCTTGGATTTCGTCAGGGACGACTTCTGGGCCCGTCTTTTGAGAGGCTGGCGCCAACTTCCGCTGCCTGACAAACCTCCACCGACTAGGTGGGAGGAGGTGATGCGTCAATGCCTTTTTGGGAACAGGAGGATTACAGACCGGTACAGCAGGGTGTATTGCAGCTCAAACACCCCGTGGAGCAGCTGGATCAAAAAAGGTATAACCAGAATAAAGGATATATGGGACATAGGGAATGAAGACTGGAAAACTGCGCCACAACTGAGGACCATACTAAAGCATTGTCACAATGTTGAGGAGAACATCGAATCGTTGATCTTTGCTATCCCCCTAGACCGGGTGAGCATCCTGCGCAACAGGCCGTGGCTGGTAGAAGGAGACTGGGTAGCTGCACCGGGTGATCCGGACAGTGTAGGCAATTTGGTGGAGGCACGAACGGACGAAACGCTGGTTAACCTCTTCCACATATGCAAGGATAATGTGCTCACTCGGTACAGTGTCACCCCAAACGTGATGAGAAGGTGGAGAAATGCAGACCTGCACACGATCCGCGTTCTGCGGGATAAAGATGCATGGATCGCATACCAGCCAAATACCCCCGTGGCAGAGCTTCCCTTTGACCCCGAGGAATGGCAGTGGGCCCCTACGCTAAAACTCAGGTCGGGGGAGAATCTAAAGTTGTATACCTTAACGGTGAAGGCTACATACCGTCTGCTGCGACCAAAGGTGAACATAGAAGAAATGGTGAAGACTCGATGGAGGTCTCATTTGAATGTAGGGGTTGAGGCAATCCGCCCCATCCGATGGTTCACCGGCACAAGGTCTAGGCCAGCGAAGATGGCCTTGCTGCAGTGGCAGATAAAACATCGCTGCCTTCCCACCAACGACTGGTTGATAGATCGTACATATCTAGAGCAGAAGGGGTGGGCGCTACCGTGGTGTAAATCGTGCCACACTGTCTTCCCGCCCCGCAGAATTCCGAAAACCATAGAGCACATATTCATGCAGTGTCCGGGGCCAGTTCTTATATGGCGATGATGGGATAGGATCTGGACACTGTTGGGCACTGGGTCCAACGGGCCACGGGATTGGAGGGCCATATTATGCGAGGCATGGACCTCCCCCACTAACACTACTTTTGAAAACAACATGTTCAAGTTAGGGAGGAGAGCGGTCATGTGGACCCTCTGGAGAAAACGTTATATATATGCTATGGAGGGTGTCTGCTTGGCTGGGGAGGAGGTGACAGACATGATAAGACAATATATTCAACAAGAACTCATGGTACAGTGACAACAAGTTAAAAACCAACTTGAGCTGTTTCACTCATCAAAGGACATAACACAAGCAATTCATCAATTCTCTGGAGACTGGTTGGGCAGTGAGAACGGGGGCTGGATCACATCTGTCAGATGGGACGGCAGGCCGGCCCAGGAGTGTAACCAGGAGGAATTCAGGAGAGACTACCGTATTTGCTTCAGAGACTGGACTACGGTGGGCCAGGAGATCCCGCTGCGACCATCCACAGAATTTCCTGACCCCTTCCCGCCCCACCATCTGGCAATGGTCGACATGCAATGGTATGGAACAGATTGAGCAAGGTCACAGGCCGAAGGGAGCAAGTAAGGAGGAAGCAGGTCAACAAACAGGACATGGAAGACATCGAGATCATATTGAACGAGCGATACAGGGTGGGCTGGTATTCAGAGGAAGTAGGAAGTAGCTGCTAGGGAAACATGAGTGATCTGGCGGTCTGGTGGAGACTGAAGAGGCAGCCCCACGCCCTAAAGTGTACTGTTGTCCAACATACTTATCATTAACCCTGCACAGTTAATCCCCTGGAAACAGGGTAATCAATGCTGGCAGGCTGTCGGATGTACAATGGGACGCTGGGCCCGCTTTCCAGGAGGTGCTGCTCCCCACCAATAGACTGGAGCACCCAGGTCTCTTGCTAGGAGGGGGTGCGCTTACCACCTCTCCTAGCAAGGACACTGGGTTAAAGACTTAAAGATTTAAAATAAAATAAAAAAAGGTTGAATGGTTTCTTACAGGAAGTTCCAACAATGGCTACAATTAATTAAAGACTTGTCAATCTTTTATATGTGACTCGAGGGGCCTTGTTCCACTACACAGCACTTTACATGCCTTTGGAGGCTTTTTCTGAACTGGATGCAGTCAAAATCTTCAACTCATCCGAATGCACCTGGTCGAGAAAGCGTCCAGTTGCATGTAGAGTGTTGTGTGTGGTGGAGCGAGGCCTATGGTCAAACTGTGTCTCAACTAGTCTAAATAGGGTCCAGAAAGTCCTTAGCTTTTAGGACGACTCAGAAGTCGAAGTAGCCCCAAGGAATTTCAACGGTCGAGCCCAGCGCAGGTACACAAGTATGTAGTTGGAATGCCACGTAGACTGAATGCATTTGGACTGATCGAACGTTTTGAATGTATCGGACCTCGAGAAGTTGGCAGATACATGTAGTATGTTGTGTGGTGGAGCTAGGCCTTTAGGTGTCAACCACGGCCTATGGGTAACGCACAATCTACAGGCTCAGGACAGTTTCTGAACGCTGGCAAGGCCTGCTGGGTCAGGTACACCCTGGCCACAACGAAACGGAACACTCACTGAAATGACGAGGAATGGTGATACGAGCACATCCCTGATCACTCAGTATTGACTCGAATCTATTGGAGGGGAGTGTACAAAATCAGGGAATCTCAGCTGCACTAGGAGGCAACTGGAGGCAGGCCAGGCCAAGTCGAAACTACAAATTCTGGGGCTACCCCAGATTGTGCAGCCATTCTGCCTTGCGTTGTCTCAAGGCTGTAGCACTGCTGAGGAAGGCAGTGCAAGAGTGAGGTGAAGATTAGCCATAGCTAGGATAGAAGTCCGCTTCCACCATAGCTTAGCATGAGATAGAGTGAGGTTTGAGAGAGTGATTACATCCTGTGCACACACACACACACACAGAGAGAGAGAGAGAGAGAGAGAGAGAGAGAGAGAGAGAGAGAGAGAGAGAGAGAGAGAGAGAGAGAGGCTTACCTGGTCTTACATGGTGATGCTGTGGTGAGTAAAGGAACAGTGGTTTGCTTCTGAAGGCGGGCATAGCTTTCAGCGGCGTTGTTCTTCATTGTGCCAGAGTGACACTGCCTTGGAGAGAGTGGCTTTGCATACTGGCAAGGTGTTTCTGTGACAGACATTCTGGTTTCATCATGAGTAGAGGGACAGGTTGATGATTGTGGGGTGGAGAGAAGAGCGAAGAGAGCCCACAGGTAGAATGGGGAGAGGCGGCAAGAGACATTGTATCAATAGACTGTTATTCGAGATGATCCTGCTCCCACTCTTCTCTTCTTTTGTCTTGACTCTGGTCTTCTCGCTACCTCTTTGCCATCGTCGTTCTTTGAGCATCACCAGTTTCATGCACGGTCATATTTGTGGCGAGCTTCTCCTTCTCGGATTTGGTTTCATTGCAATTGTTGTCGTATGATGTGGCAGACACTGTCAAATGCCAAAGACTGAGAACGAATGCAACCCCTTTCTTTTTTTCCTTTAAAAAAAAAAAAAAAAAACTTGCGGCAAGAGACATTGTATCAATGGACCTTGTGGCTAGGCTTCATTTCCGTGTGCACGGGTGGCCCCGGCACGCACGGATCCTTGCACGGCCGCACAGCCGTGCGGGTCCCCCATACTGGCCCTCTGTGGCCCCAGCACAGTGTTCAGAAAAAAACGCTAACTTTTTCTCTGCTTCGTCTTCTTCTTTTTCTCCTCCCTCATCGTCTACCTTCTTCTTCCCCTCCTGCCATCTCCTTCGTCCCTCCCACTTCCTCCAACACTCCCTCCCGCTATTCCCCTCCCGCCATCTCCTTCATCTCTCCCACAACCTCCTACTTCCACTCCCGCCGTCTCCCTCGTCGCTCCTCCACCTCTCTCCCGCCACTTCATTCCTGCTCTTCCGCCATTCTCCACCTTCCTCTCGCCACTTCGTTCCTTCCTTTCCTCCATCTTCCACCTCTTTTCCGTTGTCTTCCTTCCTACCTCCCTTCCGCCATATCGATCCTCCATCCCGCCTTCTCCCACCTGCCTCCTGCCACCTTCCACTTCCCCTCCCACCATTTACCACCTCTATCCCGCCGTCTCCCACCTACTTCCTGCTACCTCCCACTTCCCCTTCCTCCATCTCCCACGCCCCGCGCACCATCCTCCGCCTCCCTCCCGCCACTTTGGTCCTCTTCTTCCGCCATCTCCTTCCTCCCGCCTGCCGTCCTCCGCCTCCCTCCTTCCATCACCACTTCTCTACATGTGTGGAAAAGGAAGATTCGGGCACTTCTCTGCATGCGCAGCAGCCTCCCATCACCACTTTTTTTTTTTTTTCAAAATAGAAAGTACCTCACAGGGGTGACCGGTGCAGCCGCCCGGCCGTGCAGGCTGCATGGGTGCACGACCGTGCTGACCCGGCCGGGTGGCTCAGGAAGCTTAGCCTTGCTGCAAGATGCAGCCCCTTTCTTCTTTAAATTAAAAAAAGTTGGAAAAAAAAAGGGTATTGCCCTAACGTTATTCTTATCCATTTTATGCTTCAGGATCTGAACTCATCTTCTGTTTATTAACAGGCATGTGTGTACCATTCAGCCGCATGGGCTGGGTAGACTGCTAAGTTGCGCTAACCCTTTTTCGTCCGTTTCCTTTTGTGATTGCAACACCCTTTTTTGTCCCTTTCCTTCTGTGATTGCAACCTTTCTTCCTCTGGCTGAGGGCATACTCACACAAGGACTTTTTTACTTATTTATGGACGTAATTGCAGTCACATTCATCCAGGTCCGGCCATAAATGCAGTCAGGTACATTTGAGATGGAGCTAGTGTGAGTAGGCCCTAGAAAGCGAAAGGTTAAAAGCACTTGATTTCTCACAAACACAGCCTGATAGGAAGTCAATCTTTGCGGTTTTGCCAATGCTTAAACCACAGGTACCTTTGACGGGTGGGAAAAGAGGGAGGCCTCGGGTGGGCCTCTGATCTTTTAGGAGGCCAAAACGAAACAACGGCCACCGATGAGATCTATCAATGGCGGCCGTCGTCGGGCCCAGCCCTCAACTTTTTAGGAGTTTGTATTTTCCCAACACTGGTGGAGGTACTAGTGGTTTAAACACACATGCTTTCCAAAAAAAAAAAAAAAAAAAAAATGCTTACGGTCTGGGCTCCTTGTACATTGCTGGGAGCATCAGTCCGGTTCCTTCTCCCCCGGCGAGCCATGGATTTACAACAATAAGTACCCACACACACTTCCTTCCATTCCGCCAATGAACCCCTGACCAGCATTGATTGGTCCACTCCTGGAGGATAGACTGTCAGTTTGCCATTCCTTCGCCCATCCCTGTATATATATCCTATATGGTTGAAATTTAAAACTACAGTAGTGTATACTATGTAGTATATGCTATATAGCTTATATTATACATATTATATATCATGGTGTGCACTTTTATTTACCACGGTGTACACTTTGTCTCTGGAAAGATATTTTCGTTGGAGCTAATCAGTCACTTAGTTCCTTAGCAGTTGGCGTTGCTTGACAGGAGTTTATGCTGATACTCACAGACGACTCTGTTGTCGTGTTTTATGCATGATTCAGAGGTACTCCTGCGCTGGTACAATCTTACAAAGGCCATGCAGATGGGATAGCAGATATCTCTTGTGGTGGGGATTTCGTTCTGTCTACCTCTGGTGGCAAAGTTGGATTTAACTACATGAATCCGGACAACTTGCAGGTGTGTCTCCCAGCTCCTCTCTCTCTCTCTCTCTCTCTCTCTCTCTCTCTCTCTCTCTCTCTCTCTCTCTC